AATAGCGGAAAATAGTCAAAATTTTTTCAGTTTCAAAACGACATTTTATTCAACATCAAAATACGCACCTTTGCCAAATTTAAACTACCTACCTATCTAATAATAATAATGACATTTATTGAGCACACATTATACAAAGAACAGATGTTATACATTACATTACAAAATGGGTGACTCAATGGGGCAAAGTTCAGACTGGAATAAACCGTGTTATTCCGTCTGCTCTACAACTCAACCCCCTACATATGAAATTAACAACAAGAGACCAAGACATAAAAAAAACCTAGCACTTTTAGCAAGTAAATAAAAAACTATACGATAATAAAAACCATTCAGTATGAGGACACAAATGAAAACCTAAAAAAAAATTTTAAAAACAAGTTGTAAATCAGCATATGCATGATTAAAGCGCATTTTTGGTAATGCAGGTCAGTATTTTATTAGCGAAGTTTAAAATTATCGATCTCACGAGTAATTTTGGCTGCGTTAAATAATTAATTTTATTTAATTTCAATTGACGGTACGTCTTCATTTTGTAAAACAAATCAGAAAGTAAATAATAAGTTTTTATACTGGTAGCGCTATCTAACGGTAAAATTATAGCACCTCCGAAACCCATATCGAAATTATTTTCTTCAATTATCGATTCTAACTCAAAATAGAGTAGTGCCTGCACATCTACACCATATATATATGATCTACACTATAGCAGAAAGCTTTTAGTGAAAATTTGAAGTCTCTAGCTATTGTAGTTGTGGAGATCTAACGCGGACAGCCGGCCTGCCAGCAATGACGAATATTAATAGCGTATTTTTTTCAAAAATGCGCTAAAAATTATACCTAGCAATAATGATGTTAACGATGGAACTTAATGCTGTCGTGCAAGGAGTACAAGGCGCAAGCGTTTTTTAAAAAGACATTCGGATAAATGTTTTAAATGAGATGGTAATGGGCTCATCCCGCCTTCATTTTTTATTTCTGATCCACAAAGTACATTAAAAATAAAAAGACCCGTGTGTCCTCAATTTTTATTTGCGAGTAAAACCCAAAATAAATTATTGAAAAGCTGTGTTTTTAGTCCGAATTTGAAACGCTTCAGACTAAATACGTCACAAACCTACAACCAATCACGTAGAAGTGAGCTGGCAACCTTACCCGAGGGTCTGACATATATATAAGAGAAGTATATGGATAAACGAGTGGACACGCCTATCGCCAACGTTAGTGGATGGAAATATACTTCTGTCATTAGTTGGGAACTAGGCGCTAATGCGCTTGCCTGTTATTATGTAGTGTTATTTACCAAGCATTTACTCCAGTTTGACATAACGGATTGAGGTTAAATTGTTTGTTTAGTTTATGAGTTATTGAACTTTTGTTTAATTTTAATAGTAAAGAAGCCTTTCATAGTTATATAAATCAGTATACGTAAGTGATACACAATAATTGTAAAGGAATACCTAATGTTTGGCAATTTTAGTGTGTTCATTACTTAGAAATAAAGAAATGCAGGTACTTGTGGGAAAGTGGATTCTTCGGTTTCATGGCACAAGTAAGTTACAATGCAATTATCTGCAATCAATTCATTTATGCCATACTTGTTATTAGATTCCCAAGTGAAAAAAGCAACAAGAATTGGTGACTGCAAGTATGTGAACTATCGGAATTCGATGATGTAAAAACAAGGTTGTGTTCTCGTCATTTTAACCGCTATGACTGCATTGCTTTGGATGCACGCAAGCATGATGGGGGCACGAAGTTATATGGGGGTCACTTAACACCTAAAAGATTTCCAACTCGACAATGTTAATTTTATTTTAAAATCAGTAAATGTCTTTAATTTAATTGTGTTTCTTTGAACATTGGTAATGTATCACTTTATATTATAGCTGATGCGAACTTATCCAATTTCAAGTTATATTCAAGATATAATCCCTATAGGTATATTATTTCAATTGCAATTTAAGTTTCTAAATCGTTACAAAGTTTGCCTTCGAAGTTGAAGGGTGTAACCGTAAACAAACTCCGCTGAGGAAGCTCGAAAGTTCTCCGTGAAAATGCTACAGTTTCCAAGCAGAACGATACGGAGTACCTTGAACCAGAACGCACTGGGTGGCACGTGAGCGCTGATTTGAGTTGGCAGTGAAATCATTCAAGTAGGCCATTGACTGCAGGTCCCGAATCCTTGTGTGCCGAAAACAATGTTGAGGGCACAAAAAAGGGAAGATTCAAATTGTCGTCGCTGATCGGTGAAGATGCTAGTAGGGGAATCGAAGCGATATAGTCAACAGGTAAGAAACGCTTCGGCGGCGATTGGTCTTGGGAGGGTGGGCCTCGGCCAGCTAGTATACTTATCTAAAGACATCACAGGATCAGACAATAGTGATAGGAGTCGGCAGGTGGAATGGGGCCAATGTGGTGAATATGAACCTGCATGAAGCGAATAGAAGTCTGGGTGAAGTTTCCGAATGGTGCGTGGTTGTGTTTACATATGGTAATTGCACACAATAATGGTTTAATAAAATTTTAACCCTATTTTCGAGTTATAGGTTATGAAATTTGAAATTGGCGCTACTTAAAAGTAGGCGGAGAGAAGTAAATATTTACTTGGGGAGTTTGCGCATAAATACAGAGTTCAGGACTAAGGAATAGGGCAGCTCTCTTTTATGGCGAACAATTTGCACATTGCAATCATAGGCGGTTATCCATATACTTCTCTTATATATATGGGGTCTGACGTTTGTCACATTTGACGTTTTGAGAGGGATGTTTAACTGCTTCACAGCCGTCTATAATTACAAGCCGTGCTGAGAATTATGGCAACACTGCATGGTAGGCCGATTTCCTAATTCAACTTGACAGATTTCAGGTGTATTTTATGTGTGTTTTGGGTGTAATATTCTTTTTTACCTGTTTTAACAGAGCGAGATTGCGACAATTTGTGTTACTCCGTACGGAATGAACAGAAATTATTATTCAGGTTAAGTTGCTAAACGAAATATATCGATTTATTGTCATAACCTCTAAAGCAGGCTACTCCTTAGTGGACCTTTTACAAGCACTTGTATTTGTTCAAAGTACCTGTACAAGCTCAAATATGACCTACACACTACGTGGTACGTAAGTGCGGTAAGTGTTTATCGTGAAAGAATACAATAATTATTTTATTAGTTGGTATTTCAGATATTCTAGCACGGACATGTCAAGTCGATTTTCTGAAGGAACCTTCCGACTTATTCCCAGGAGTTCACGGTACGGGAATTTGAAGTCTACGGGGCTCCCCTCTTTAAAAGCTTCGTACCTAGACCCACTGGAGTACCGACTGGCTTAAAATCTGCCATTCCGAATGGTCGTTGATAAAACCTCGCTGATGCACATCGATTTACTGTCCTTTAGCCGAAATTAAGTGCCCAAGCATGTGCTTCACCTCGACCTCTTTCGACAGAAGTTCACCAATTTCGGAGATCTCGATGGAAAACACATTATGATGCAGTTACCAATTTACAGCGTTCCGAATTTTAACGTCAAATAAAAATGTTATTATCCATATTATGTTATCAAAAATCTCTAAACCTTCCCCATATAGTTTTATTCGTTGAAGTTTTTAAAAATAACAGCGACTATAGTTTCGGCGTACTGCCATCATCAGGCGATGTGAAAGTTAACAGGAAAACGGTAAATTACAAACGTTGAAGACGAATAAGACGAACATGTTGTTTTTTTAATTATTAACTGGCCGAAGCCAAGTGAAAAAACCTGAAGGGTGGTTAAAACGGAAAGGTTGTCCTAAGTTTCAAGACGAAATTATTATCAAGCCTTGTTAAGACAACCAACCGGAGGGTTGAATTTTTACATTAAAGGTTGAAGAATCATTTCGAGACATGCCGTCTGCATGATCTCGAATTTAAACTTTACTTAAATAATTTAAATATGTAGTCATCTTAATAGTTTCAATACTTTTATAAGTTCATTTTTTCCCCCCGTTCTTTTGAAATGTGTTAACCCAACTTTCAACCTTTAATGTAAAAATTCAAAAAAAAAAAAAAAAAAAAATGTTATTATCCATTCCATCCTATTATTGTCCAAAAATAGTATATTAAAACATAAGTTGCAGAAGGCCCTCTATTCTAACACGAGTTCAAGTTTCGAACCTGAGCCGCGTAGCGGCGAGGGTTCGAATGAACGAGTGCTTAGAAGGCCTTCTGCAACGAATGTTTTATACTATTTTCTCTGTTTCGGGCTCGTTTCGCATTGTTTATTAATTACCTATGGATAAATTTAAAAATATTTTCGATATAAATTGTGTTGGCAGTACTGACTATTTGCTTGGTTTCCATAGTAACCGATCTTTCAAATTTCTTCACGAGATATTTTTGCGAAATTATCTTTAGATTTGAAAAATAAAATCCATTACCTACATTTCACTAAAGAGCCTACAATGTCAGACGAAGAACTAACTTCAACACCACCGGAATTGCGTGAATTAGCTGATAATGCGGTAAATGATTTGGTGCCATCCAAGTCTAAAAATGAGTACCAAAAGGAGTATGAACAATTTGAATCTTGGCGCATTGAAAACAAGGTACAAACCCTCACAGAAAATTTTTGCTTGCATACTTCGAAATTCTTAGTAAGACTTACAAAAGTTCTACATTATGGAAGACATACTCGATGCTTCGATTGATGATAAACATCCGACAAAACGTTGACATTTCAAAATTTATGAAGTTTCAAGCATTTTTGAAACGATTATCGGTAGGGTTTGTACCCAAGAAATGGAAGTTGCCGAAATGTTGTCAAACAGTGGTGGACCTCCATCAGTTAGACAGTCTACCTTTACTGCTCTTCCAGCAACAGCTTCTAGTTCCAATGCTGGTTTTATACAGCCTGAATTAAGTAACCCGGAAAATACTAATGTGTCGGAGCAAAATCTGCCCGGCATTTCAGTCAATGCAGGAGTAAATTCGACCGTTACAATTACTATTTAGAATAATTACAACACCTCTTCATAATGTATAATTTTGTACAGTTAAGCAAGTGTTTAGTTTAGTATACTTTCTGTTTTATTCTGATTCCGCATTACTTATGTATTACTGACAAGTGAGCGCAGTCACTCGATCAATCGTATTGACGTAGGTTGCTAAAGCTAGCACGGCTTCTGATATCATACTGTAAACAAAATGGGCTCCCGAAATCTCAAACTGCATACGAAGTGTAACGCAATTTGGCTTCAGTCAGTTAGTAGAGGAAATTCCGCTTCAATCTTGACAAAAACTCCTTATGTGAATGATGTAGCTTTCGATGTGGATCTTTCACCAAAGTTATCCGATTATAGTAACTGAAATAATTTAGCCGTGAAGAATTGTTTGCACCTAACAATTGGAGTTATTTTACCCAACTTACAGCTTACCTTACGATATCAAAAATGTGTTCATTTTAATAAAAATGGTTTCCTTTACAGTATATTTCGAGGTCTTCATTTTATGATAATTACTTTGCCCTTGCAATCAGTTCATACCTACAAGTAGGGTTAGTCAAGTATCAACAACATATTTATGACAACGAAACCATACGGCTCACCGTAACATATGTATATTAACATGGACATTATCGATATTGTTAATTACATTACGTATCTTTACGTAATTTAGAAATGATGGATGTTCACGGCACATAATTTCAGCTTCCGTCATCGATAAGCCGACTGTCAAACTTATTAATGCAAACTGTCGAAAAAAAAAGTCACTAAAAATCGTTTAAGAATAGAGTTCACTGTTCAGACTAACACTAAAATACGTGCTAGAATGACGTATTCTAACACCGAAACAGAGAAAATGTTTTATGGTTTCAGGTACACGGTTATTAAATTATAACTGCGGAATTCAACTACACTGTAAACCCCCATTCATTATACGTCTTTGCAATATTGTAACTAAAGGAGCGTTTAAATAGTGACGTTTTATGAGTAGGTATAGTTATAAAAAACCGATCTCTAACATTGACATTATGGACGTCAGCTCTGTATGTTACCTTTTCAAATAAATATGATTTATTTTGGTTTGAAGTATGCCATGGAACAAACAGGCAGAATGTAATATTCTTCTGTTGTTCATAATTATCAAGCCATTGGAGGGATTTTAATTTATGTGTGATCCGGTCATATTTTCGGATATCAAATATTAGTCTAAGGCAAGAATTCTGCATTCTCTGAATTCGATTGTAGTCTCTTTTGTCGATACATGGGCCATACACACTATCACAATAGTTAAATTGGGAAAGCACTAAGGATTCGCAAAGCATAACCTTAATACTACGATTAATAAGAAATCGGCTATTACATATTAGTTTAATATTTGTAAACGCTTTATTAATTATTTGAGATATATGCTTTTTGAATCGCAATTGGGAGTCAAAAATCAATCCAAGATTTTTAACGACTGGTAATATTGCCCCGTTGGACTTAACAATTATTGCATGCTTGAGCGTGTTAATAATCGACGTTCGACCAAATAGCATAACAGCTGACTTATTGCAGTTAATCTCTTAGTTTCTGAGATCCTCATGCTGGCCTTCTAATTTGAATCAGCCTCGGAATCAGTTGATGATTTTGAGGTTGACTTAAAGTTTAATCCTAATTTGTGAACAGATGCGCACAGTTCCAAATTTAAACTCAAATTTCAACAACTAAAAGTTCGAGTTTAAAATTTGAATCTAAAGCTTAGACCATATAGTACATGGACTGCTATTAGCCCTATGCTTTCAATACAAAATGGGTGGTCACGGATAGAGGGCACTGTAGTCGTGGGTATGTGAATCTCAGGGTAAACTAAAGTTGTATGAACACTACTCGGATTGCGTAATGAGTAGCTTTTATGGAACGTGTAGTACAGGAAGCTTTAAATATTCTTGATTATTCTTCTATACGTCCGCAAATAAGAATAGGTTTGCTTTTTTGCCATATCTAGGCGATTAATTAATTGACGTTTGTTAATTTATAGGTTGACAGCGTCAAACCGTGTCTCAGCGGACAATTTCGGCCAGACTCGTTCACCCGGAAACTCACATACCCAAGCGATGTCCTTGACCATATTTTAGTTACCATTAGCAGTCCATGTACTATATGGTCTAGGATCTAAAGTTTGGTAACAGCATACAGCTGCAGGTAAGATTCAAACTGTCAACAAATATCATACTGCACCGATCTTTGCTGTCAATTTGAAGAGAAAATGAGTACCTAACACCTGTAAATGCAGTTTGCAATGATGCACTATTTAAAAATATTGCACCTAGAGTTTGGCAGTTAGGCCCTTGGTCATTTTCAAACAATTTTTCTAAAAACATTTGTATTGCATAATTATCTATAACAGAAATGTCAATTGCTAATCTACCTACATAAAAAAATGAGTTGCTGTCGAGTCGCCTTTGGAAGTTCAAGTTAATTATATTTAAACTTTGAATCGAGCTTTGAATATACTGCAGACACAGCATTCAAACATTGAGTCAATGGCCCGTATGAATAAAAGTAAGCAAATGCTTATACTTCCAAAACTCAAAGTAAATACTCGTAAGTGCTCCTTCGCACTGAGCGACTTAGCAGCGCGCTTCTAAGCAGGACAGAACGCAGTGCAGCGCTGCTAAACCATGCTAAACAGACCAGTATGAAGGGGCAGTTACGAGTATTTACTTTGAATTTTGCAAGTATAAGCATTTGCTTACTTTTATTCATACGGCCCAATGGTTTAAATTCAATGCTCCAACCTTGGTTCCAACATCTCAGCCTGTATCTTATCAATCCCAATTTTAGTTGTGTTGGAACATTTCAAACTTCAAACAGTTTAAACTTTGATCTGAACAGCAGTAGTAGCATATACTATACCCACTTATTGAGAATGTGAAAGAACAATGCCCTGCTAGTCCGCATTACTTCATACACTTTAATGGAGTTAAGGCCGATTCTAATTAGAACAGCATCAAACGGCATGGCGCAAAGCATTGCAGTAAAAGGAGAGTAAGTAATTTCCACTAATAATAAAATTACCTGTAAGATCCATAAGCGAAAATTGCATCTGTAAGTATTACACTTAGTCTTTGGAATAATATAGTTTTAAAAGATGCATAATTATGGTTATTCAGTACCAACATTTGTGGATCAAACCAATAACCAATTCTCGACAAAAAATACTCGAACCAAGCAAATAGTGGTGGGTAATCCAGTGTCCATTGTGACGTGTCTTCGTAATACCATTTGTCTATAGGTAAGTTTGATGTAATCGCCAACCAATTTCGATGTACTTCAAAGTCTGTTGAACGGCTGCAACATAAAAATATAGAATTGATAGCACAACACTGAACATTCTTACTATGCTGGAATAAGTAACAGTTTCACACATGAAAGTAATAAAAAGGAAACACAAATCATAATTATCACTATTGCTTACATAATTACTATTATCAAAAGTACACATAAACACTTCACCTTAACCTAAAATATTCAAAACAAAACAAGGGAAAAAGCGGTACCGATCTATAGACATGTGCCACAAAAAGTAATGTACAGGGTGAGTCAACGATTGCGCGGAGTAACTTTAGTGCCTTGAAGATCATATTTTTCGATAGAGTGCTTTTGTATTGTGATATGGTTGAATATTCTCCACATTTTAAAAATATTTGAAATTATACAGGGTGCGCCCACGAAGTATGGCGCCAAAATGGTACACTTTTTTAAATAGAACCCTCTGTATTTGAATGCATTTTTGAATTCTACGTGTAATTGTACGTCTTTTTTATTATTTATTTTATTGCCTTTATTTTATAGTGGGCGGAGTGTTAGCAATTTGCTACTCTTCCCACTCAACCCACTATATAATCACAAACAGCCATGCCTTACCTGGTTAATATTCGAAAAACTAGTAGTTTTAAAGATATTTCGATTTGTAAGAAAAATTGGTCATTTGCAAGCGTGAGTATATTGTCAAAATTATTACTTAAATTTTGATTCCAGGTTTATATCTTTTATCCTGGGTTAAGTAAAAGTCAAATAAATACATGTACTATGAAACATTAAAAAAATAGCTTACAGGGTGTTTTTTGGTAGGTATATAGGTTATATTCTAATCTTAAATAAGTTATAGGTAATAGTGAGGTGGCCATGCAAAAAAGGCAATGGTCCATTTTCCATTTTCAGACTTGGCAACAGACAAATCGGATTCAGGGGGGTCGAAGTAGGGGAAAATCATGGTAATACAATTGTTACACAAAATGCTTTTAGCACTTGGATTTTCTCAATAGCCTATAGTCTTGACTAGACTAGGTATACATCGTTGGAACTGACTAACTAACAATTTAAGTCGATACTATACTGTATACATTGATACTCAGAAAAATGCTCTTATGATGTTATGGAACTCTACTTAAATATCTAACATTTTCAAAGATCCCATTACCCGCAGCCACCCACAATCTTTATTTTTTTGCTATTTGCGACATTTTCAACCAACTACATGCGAAATTCGAAAAGTCACTCGTAGGTGGGAGATACCCGAAAGACCAATTTTCAAAGCAGTTCTTACAGCTTTGTTTGAATAGTGATTTGATTTGAAAAAATGTGTTCTACAATTTTGCTCCTTTACTTATTAAGTATGTACACAACAAATTTCGTAGAATTCTCTCCATAGCCCATTTTAATTGTCCCGCCAAGAGCTGCAGTGGAATTTTTTTTCGCACTTACTTACTTTACTTACTCACATAACTTTTAAATTGTATAATCTATCAGAACAACAAACGCTCGATCTCTTGCAAATTCACTGTCTTGGATGTAGTCAAATTAATTGCAAGTGCGATATTTACATTAAAAAGGTAACAGAAATTAAATAAGTATTTAGGGATATATTTTGATCAATATACCTTAGATGGAATGTGCATGTTTCACACCTTGTAAGTAAACTTAGAAAACTCACTCAAAGCCATATTACAAAGACCAAAGAGATATCGGTCTCATCTAGTTTTTCATGAATCGCAGTTATTCGGCGTGAAGCAGTTATACTTTATTGCCATTGCTCGATATTTATATAAAAATCACCTGAACAGCGAACTGGAATTACCCACTCCCATACATAATTACTCTACCAGATGGAAGATATCCAATAAGTGTAATGTACCGCTTACAAAGAAAAAGTTTGGACAAAGAAATTTTTTATTCAATGATTATAAAGTTTTTAATAAGATACAAGAATATTACGGCAATGACTTGGTAACTTACTCATACGAATCATTTAAAAGTAAAATTAAAAATCTGGTCCAAACAGTGTCAGTGGAAAACATTTTTTAATTAAAATAAATTAAAGAAAGATTATTTTATTATTATCTTATTTTTTAAACATAAATTTTAATGGGGGTGTCTACGATTAGCATGATGTTCATGCAACAAGTAACAACAAGTTATGATTTAGCGTGCACATCTTGTCTCTCGTCGACTATCAGAAATTATTTTATTTTGTGGGTTAAATTGATTTAATACAAGTAATGTATTTTTTTCCCTTAAATTTAACTTTTAGTTTTAGCTTAGAACATGACATTTAATTTCAATCTCTTTTATATTTATGAAGGCGCTTTGAGTTTAAAATAAAGGGATATTATTATTATTATCAAAAATTAATTTTAAATTCGTGATGTTCATGTTTAAAATGCCCCAGATATCAAATTTAGTCGAGATCAGAATTTTTTACGCACCCCCATTTAGGGGTGCGCCCTACCACCCAATTTTTGACATACCTACTTATTCTTATATGTAACACCGTAACATGCAACCATATAAAATTTCCCAGCTCTCTTCATTTAAATTTGATATGTTGCATATCCTCATGTACTGTCTCTTTGTCTAATTTACCTACCTCTAAAACTTGTTTGTTTAGTTTATATACAATTTGGCGATCGCTTCGGCTTTAAAACTTTCTATAGTATTTTTCTCTCTCTGTTCGTTCAGGTATTGGCTAAAATACCATTGAATAACATATTCAATGCTAATTATACCTACTCTCAGTCAATGTTCAGGTATTCTCGTGGACATTTTTTTATTCCACGTTCGATTCAAAAGTTACGATAATTAGGTATACCTAATCGTTTTAGGGAGATCGGTCATTTCTGACTATTTACCATTGTGTTTCCATGACAGTACGTGGAATTTACCAGTTGCTATAATTACGACGACGCCAAAATTACTTACCGATCTAAAAACAGAACAGCAAAAATACTTACCGACGCCTTTTTAAAAACAATCAGTTCAAAATTAACAGTCTTACATTACTAATCTTTAATTATTATTGTTACATTAAACGTACAATTTGTGCTATTGTTTCCTATAGAAAGAACACATTCTTCATTTAAACCTGAAGCAATATACCTAGAAATCAAGGTGTTTGAAGGTGCTTTCGTTTTTCAGTTACAATTTTGTTCTGTAAAGAGTCTTCGAATTATTAATTTCAGTTTTGACCATACTTAATATACTAATTTCATAGCCAGCGAGCGGGTTTTTTTTTATCGCCTTTTTACCAGAGACATATGTCTCTGCTTTTTACCTATATTCGAAGTAAGAGAATACAAAATTGCTACTACTATTACCCCTTTATTGCGGTGTTGCCAAATGAAATTATATGTCGGATTTTTTAAGGTCGATCGTCCTGATGTCCCAAACCTATTAACTCTAGCAACCTTCAGCCATTATACCGTTGTTGCGTGTACGATGCATATCTAGTAATTTTAGTACCTACAAGTACTTAGCGCTTCAGTTTGAATTACAAACCAAAATTTGTAACGGATTACGGAGAATGTAAGTACACCCATCTTTTATCAAGCGAAGTTTCCGAAATAATATAGCTATAATAAATCATATATCTCGTCTTTTAAAAGTTATAATAACTAATTGCTGTAGTGTACCTACCTACTTAACCCCCACGTTCTACGCTAACTTCACACTAAGTACAGGAGTAGGTACACAGAAATAAAATCAACCCGGAAACATTTAAAAATCGCTCCCGGGATGGCTATTCCTTCCAAAAGCTAACCGGATTCAGCTTAAATTTGAAATCGAAAAGTGGCACGTGATCGAAAGTCTAAAGCAGAGCCCCGTTGTGAACAACGGTGTACTACGGAAAGAAACGCTAAATAAAACATTATGATGGCGTAATAGTAGGTAATATTGGTATTTTGATCAGTTATTTTAAGTCAATAATCTCGAATGAGCAATAGTGAATATGTTATCAATGTGCAATATCAATTGTTGCACTAAATAATTGATAATAAGCAATAAGGCACGATAAGAAGTAGTAGTATATACTAGATATAATCACATACTCAAAATATGATAGCAAATACCGGTTTTAAGCAAACCAAAGAACTGATTGTGGCACAAGCAGGTTACAACCAGTTAAAAAAGTAATCGTACTTAAACGATTTACAAAAAGCGCATTTGTACCATATGCAACTTCTATTAAAATCGTAAAAATCCGTCCACAAATATGAAAGATAGCGTTGCATAGGTGCAATCAATTTTTGACGTCCTACTTCAATTTCAGTTTATAAGAAGAATTTCATTTCATTGCTTTCATAAATAAGAAAGTTGACACTGCGCATGCGCAAACCTAAATTTGGAAACTAACGTTACATTTTCCTTTGTTTCAAGTGGCTATGTATCCAATTTCATTTAAATGCTTCCATAAAAAAAAGTTGGCACTAAGCACGCGCAAAACCAAATTTTGGAACGGCGTTAGATTTTCATTTATTTCAAGTGCCTATGTATCAAATTTCATTCAAATACTTTTATAAATAAAAAAGTTTGCAATTCGGTTTATATAATGGTCGAGATGCGAAAATGGGCACTATGAATACAATATAAAATTATAAACGATCTCTAGGATCGTTAATAAACGACAAAAGTGTAAAATTATGGAACATGTAAAAATGGTTTTTTTGTTTTTTTACAATAACTTTTTTAGCAATAAACGCAGAAAAAATTCCTTCCTTGGTGCAAACCTCAACACCGTAACGAACCAAATAGCAAAAAAAGTAGAACAATACCTCTTAAGATAAAGGACTAGTAATGTCCCAACGAATGCCCGGACGGACGGACGGAGGGACGGACGCACAAAGTGCCCACAACGGCGCATTTATTTTTTATTGTTGTGGAAATCCGCTAAAAAAAGGTATGTACACTCATATTTGCAATAAAACCCTTTTGTTAAAAGCAACATGGGAAATATTACATAGTCTTGGAGGGCAAATTCAACGTTTAAAACTACGAAACATGTGAAAATTAGTGACTTCCAACTCATATCGCACATACATTCTAAAGCTAAGAGTTTTTTGTTAGCAGAATTCTACCTCTGGCATATGTGACAATGAGTCCTCGTGCGGCATTTGACTGCTTGTAGTTGGGATTCAAGAACAGTCCCGGCATTAGGTGCCGTAACTAATGTGTTTACAGTTATTTACTAGCACAGTGACTATCTGTTCACGAAG